GAAGGGGCGCAAGTACAGAGAAGTAACTGGAAGTTTTTTGCGGGGTAAAAAATGCCGCTCGAAATCTACCTGGATCTGATCTCCCAGCCATGCCGCTCTGTCTATATTTTCGCGAAGAAGAACAACATCCCGTTTGAATTTAAGAAGATCCTGCTGTTTAAAGGTACCGTTACAAGTTTTTGTGGCTCTACGTCACTTTCGGCTAGTATTTTTAAATTATTTGGGCTAAATAAAGGGTCACTTTGACGCGATGTATCTCTTCTGGGCAGACGCGTAAGGTGACGATATGCAAACACTTCGTTACAGCATTTAAGTGTTTTTTTCGGTTGTACTTTGCTTGCGTACTTTAAGTTGCTACTGTTTAGCTTAACTACATTTTTTAAATATACAACTACTTTTTACTCCGATACATTTTGCAAGACTGTCATAGCTCACCCAATTAAAAAATATATTATTGCATGCAGCGCATCTGAGTTGGGCTGCGCGAATCTGGGTTAAATATATCTCATGAATTGTTTTCACCCAGGAGTGATTTTTCTCTCATGATTCAACTATCAATTTAATCTGGCCCGTATGTCGAGTTTTCGTTTCCCAGAGCATATAAATTCGTTGCGTCAATCTGCGCTGGCAAGCTCGGCAAGTTTTACCTCTTTTTCTAAGTAAAAATAAAAGATCTGCTTATCTTCTCGCCTGTCAGTTTTCCTTTTTGTGATGCACTGTAATTTATAATACTATACTTAAATCTGTCTTGAATTAATTTAAAAGGATATAGGATGTTTTGTGTAAAATCTATAGATTTGGAATATATAGTAGTTTTTACGAGGGTGTTTCAAGAAGTAACAGCAAATTGACAATATTTCATGAATCAAACATCCAAGGCATTTCATACTCCATTTCAGGGCAGATAAGTGCTTAGAGAAGGTGTTGGCATTGCCCAGTAGATGGCATGACGTGCGTAATTGCAAGTGCACCATATAAAAATTCTGCGCCCTTAACTGTATGCGCCGTAGAGAAGCAGCGAGAAGTCATCCGATTTTTGTGGGGTGTAAAACCTCGTGAAATTCATAGAAGAATGTTGTTGGGCTGGTTTGGAGTGGCTTCACTGTATGTATTCATCTGATGTTCATCAAATTAAAATAGTTAAAATTAAAAAATAAAGCTGTCTTCCAAAGAGGGGGGTGGTGGTTGGGCATTAAATAAAAAATATATATTTAAAAAATATAAGAATGTTGTAGAATTATGGAGATGCCTGTATTAGCAAGTGAAGAGTGTAGGAGTGGGTGGTGGCACACATCTGCAGCGAAGAAGAAATTCAAGTCTCAACAGGTCTATGTCCAGGTCTTGTACAGGAGGTAGGCCCAAGCACCTAGAGGAGACACCTGATTGGTTGGTCCCGCCTCCTCTAGTTGCTTGGACCCACCTCCTTTACAATGTAATTGGTTATCTCTCTGAAGCAATCATTGTTCCTTCTGCCCTCAGAACATTTTGTGTAAGTAAAACTCCCATGAGCACCTGTGAAGCGTGCTGACTTCCAAACATATTTTTGATTTGTTGACATCCATCAATGCAGGCATCCAGTAACCTTAAGCTTAGTCAATTTAACAAATACAGCTTTTTTTATCTTCTGGACGTGGAAATTTAATTTTTACATTGAATTTTTTTTTTCCAAGCTGTGAACTTTCCTTTTCACTGTGATTAGGGTTAACCTTGTGTTTATGTTTCTCCATCAGGGGAACAATACAGTGAAGAATTCGGGAAGGTTAACTATTTCAGGAAAGTGCCCGCCATTAAAGATGGAGACTTTACTTTGTCAGAAAGGTGAGACTTGTGCATGACAAAATTAAGCCATAGAACAAAATTTTTACAGTGCAAATGTTGCTTCTGACTGGGTAACAACAACGGACTTGCAGCATTGCCATCTTAACTTATCTGGCGGAAAAGTACGGGACCCCAGACCATTGGTACCCAGCAGACCTGCAGACCCGGGCTCGAGTTCATGAGTATCTGTCATGGCAGCACAGTGGAATGCGAGGAATTGCCGGCAAGATCTTATGGCTCAAGGTCGGTATTGGAAATTAATAGCATTGAGGCTGTATTTAAACAAATAAAATGTCATAAATTTGTACCTTTTAAGTCATTCCTTTTGCAATATACAAGAACAATTAAATATATTCTGTATTTTAGCTGATGATTCCCAAGGCATTTGAAATAGATGTTCCTAAGGAAAGGATGGATTCTCTATTGGTGGACCTGGAGGGATCACTCACAGCCTTCGAAGAAAAGTTCCTGCAGGACAAGCCTTTTATTGCTGGGCAGAAGATCTCACTGGCAGACTTGGTGGCCATTGTGGAAATCATGCAGGTGGGGCAAATTACACTGAATTTGTTTAAAATGAAATGTTATGAGATGCAACAGTGACACAGGTAATGTATCCTGGATCCTGGGTTCAATCCCCATTGTACCACATTATTAATCTATTATTATCTATGGTCCAGGGCATGCAAATCTAGTTTTAAAGGCAGTTTAAGAAATTTCAAGTCACATGGGTGGTATATGACTCTGTGAGTTAGGACTCTGTACCCTGTGATCAGAATGTCACTAGTTCAAGTCCCATGGCTGACAGAGTGGTTTCACCTTTGGGTCCATGAGCAAGGCTCCTAAGCCCTCACTGCTCCAGGGACTGCCTGACCCTGCCCTCTCACATTTGTCAGTTTGCATAAGTGGCTGCTAAATTAATACATGGTAATGTAATTTAAGAATACATCAAAGTTCTGTGTGAGAACAGACTGTTTGTTTCAACCCTCACTCTCTGAAACACTGACGCTGCTGTTTTTATGTGCCTTAGCCACTAGGTGCAGGTGTGAACGTGTTCGAGGTCAGGCCGAAACTGAGTGCCTGGAAGGACCGAGTTCGGGCAGAGATCGGGCCAGCTCTGTTTGACGAAGCCCACCAGATGATCTTTAACGCAGAGGAGATGTCAAAGACCATCGACCCCAGTGCGAAGGAAATATTCAAGCCCAAGATCAAAAAGATGTTCCTTTGAGTCTATTGCTAGGTTCTTGTACAGTCTGCTGTATACTGCTTTCTCTCACAACCAAATACCATTTGTGTTTATGCATTAACCTGCAATGGTGCCAAAATTTGATTTGATTACCCCTATACTGTCTTATATATTATTTACTCCATAAATACTTTTTCTGTATTTGGCATTATAAGAGATCAGACGGACATAAAACCCCTGTTTTTTGGTCATAAGGCTTTGAAGGGATAGCAAGGTTAGGTTAAGAGATGCCATTTTGGGTGGTAATTTCAAGGGCATGGAGTATAACTGCAGTTTTGACTTTCATCCTAAAAATCTATTTGTCATCTTGCTTTTGTTTAAAATGATCAACCATCAGGTAGTTTGTATTTGCATGTAGTCCTTTGGCATTTAGTTACATGGGAGTTTGTCATTTTAAAAGAATAGGTCATCTTTGATGGGGAAATACATGTAAGTCACAGCATTCACACCAAGATTTCATGGAATTTTTCTGGCCGAAAGAAGGGGTCAGAGCAGATTAAATTTCACCCAGATATTTCCTGTGTTCACAATGCTTTAAGTACTGTGATATGTGCAACTTTTCCACTTAATGAAGGAAAAAGAATTTGCAGCTGTTGAATAATAGTAACATAATTGCTTTTATGAAGCCATTCTGTATTTTTTTCTGATACTATGTAATTTCTAATAAACAAGCGGCATTTCTTAACAGGTATTAAAGTATGTTTCAGTACTTAAATGTATCTAAAAGTATGCATATTACAGAATTTATAAGGTGGTGGGTAAATTGCATCTAAAACCATATAACTATATACACTCTGTTCTGTTACACATTAATGGATCTCAATTTTCTGAAACTCATTTTAAATGCTAGTGAACTTTGACTTGAGATAATACTGCGCAGTCTCCTATTGTTGACTCAAACGTAAAACGTAAACTGTTTATTAACCTTGAATTCATAGTGCTTTAGAAGATTTTTTATGGCAGTATTTTGTCCAGCAAACTAAAAACTCCGGTTTACCTAAATAGCTACTTTGGCTATGTTTTGTATAACTCCTATTTTATAAAGAAATATTAATGGACAAATTCATGTAAGAAACTTTACTCCCAAAAAGCGATACACTTCTCAATAATTCAATGAAGGACTTATACCAATTTCATAATATACCATTTAGTGTCAAACAACTTGCAGGCTATTAGACAACTGAATAATTTCAAGTACAACGCTTGAGATGAAAATCCACCAGTGCACCAAGGCTTGTGACTGAATTTAGCACCAGTGGTTTATATTATATTATGCAAAACATTATTGTGTGTNGAAGATGGGTGGAGGTGGGGCAGAGCTTTTCCTGAAGTCCACAATCATCTCCACTGTCTTCAGGGCTTTGAGCTTAAGGTTGTTACTCAACAACACAAATGTCCACAAATACATGTTTCTATATTTGGCATTATAAGCACAGAGATGGACATAAATCTGTCCTGTCTTTCAGTCATAAAGCTTTGAAAGGATGGTGAGGTTAGCCTAAGAGATGCCATTTTCGATGGTAAGTTTAAGGGCATTCAATATAACTGTAGTTTTATCGCCTTTTGCCCTAGAAATTTTGTTTAGAATTAACCAGCTTAGTTTGTGCATGCATCTATTTCTCTATATATACATATAACTTTTTTTATGAAAGGGTCAAAGACATACAACATAACAAGATGTAATCGAAGTGTTGGAAAGGAGAGAGAAGAGAAGGAAAGGGAAAAAATAAAATCAACTCAAAAAAAGTAAGCAAAAATAATAATACAATCACAGAACCATTAAGTGATACCATTTGGTGAATATGTACTGAAATATAATTAAAAGAATAATAAAACAGAGGTAAAACAATACAAATAAACAACAAATACAGAAGAAATGTATGAAAATGAAATTATTCTGTATATTTGGTTGTGACAAATGCCATATCAGCATGTAAGCTGTGGAAGTCTTCTGAAGAATTTGAAAAAGCAAAGACGACACATATATATCGTATGTTCTCTTACTGTTAAGTGACAGAAAATAAGGCAGTATATTGCTGTTTTTAGAGTACTCGGGAAATATTTTCCTTAAAGGAGTGCGCAAGTTTTTATTTATTATTTTACGATCTCATTGAGTTGACACTTGGCAGCACCACAGCAATCACCCGCGGACTAAACAAACCAAATAGGCCTAGCTAGGTATGCCAGATCTTACCTGACTTGGCCAGATGCCCGAGCCACCTCATCTGGCTCCTCTCGATGCGGAGGAGCAGCGGCCTTACTCTTAGTCCCTCCCGAATGACCGAGCTCCTTACCCTATCTCTAAGGGAGAGCCCAGCCACCCTGCGGAGGAAACCCATTTCGGCCGCTTGTATTCGCGACCTCTTTCTTTCGGTCACTACCCACAGCTCGTGACCATAGGTGAGGGTAGGAACGTAGATCGACTGGTAAATCGAGAGCTTTGCCTTTTGGATCAGCTCCTTCTTCACCATGACTCATAAAAATTAAACGTCATTAAATAGAGCTATAGCTGATATAGCTGTAATATTTAAAAAGTTACATCTCATAAGAAAACACTCTGAATTATCACTTTTTTTCTACTTGCAGTGTTGAAAAGGTACTACATCTCAAATGGATTTTTTTAAATAAACAAAAAAATACTTCTGACCTCTGGAAGGTACAATGCATATGCCAAATTGATTAAAAATAAAACAAAATGTTAATGCAAAACTTGGAAATTTGTTTAATTAAACATCCAGTCCAGTCTTTGCCGATCAAATAATAAAGCGCACCATCACCCCCTGGTGGTGATTTTAAAATGTTTTTGGTACGATGGCTGCTGATTAGGCTACAGTTGTAGACATGTGCTTCTGTGATTCCCACGGAGGACTAAGCACACAAGTCAGTGAGGAAATACATGATTCTTACACGGTATTTTATAATATCTACCATCAAGTAGCAGATTCCTGGTTTTGTAACATATTATAATACTGATAATTTGTTTGAGTGCTGTTCTTCTTTACCATTATGTTTGCACTGCCTATGGCCTTATGTAATTAGAGAATGAGTTAAAAACTATATATTAAACTATATATTTATAAACTATAAATTAAAAATGTTTTGCGCAGCACAAGATTTAAAAGGACAAATGATAACGCATGAAAAATGTGTCCCAGTTCATGGATGAGGAGCATAACAGGGCAAGATCTTTGAGAATACACTCACCTAAAGGATTATTAGGA